GGAGGCGTGGGGAAGTCGGCCCTCACCCTGCAGTTCATGTATGATGAGGTGAGTCAACACACCCGTAGAAACAGCCTAAACCTGCTGTACATGGGTTCAAACAGTAAGAACGGGTCACTTCTAACCAGTTCACTTTTTAATCATTGTAAAGATTCAGTGGTTCTCCAATAGAAAGCTTTTAATGTGAAACAATTTCAAGAAGTGTTTCATGCAAAATGGTTGATAAAACAGTGAAGCTGCTGTCTTGTTGCATGGAAGTAAGAGCTTGATGATGGGAAACAACAGTGGCTCCTCCACCACAGAGGTGCTGCTACACTACCACAAGGTTAACAGGTGTTCTTGTAAAAAGGACACTTTTCTCGAGTCCGCTGCTCGCTTGACCAGAGATGTTGTTTACTGTAACAACAACACTCAATGCAGGGCAGAGACGGTCACAGATCGGCTCCGCTACCAAAGCAGCATATCTGCTCCATTTTTCATGCGTCTGCTGTCCATTAGACGGCTCAGACACGCTTCTATAACCTGCGGGGCTGCCTACACACAACTCCTCATGCTAAACTGATGCTTTATGCATGTTAACACAAGTTGTAGCATGTTTTACACTTCAAAAATCTCCAAAGAAATGTCTCTTTTAATCTCCAGTTTGTGGAGGAGTACGTGCCCACCAGGGCCGACAGCTTCAGGAAGAAGGTGGTTCTGAATGGGGAGGAGGTCCAGATCGACATTCTGGACACAGCCGGCGAGGAGGACTACGCTGCCATCAGGGACAACTATTACCGCAGCGGGGAGGGCTTCCTGCTGGTGTTCTCCATCACAGAGCAGGAGTCCTTCTCTGCCATTGTGGAGTTCAGGTACCGTCTCCCGCCTACGTCTGTCTTTGTGTGGGACAAAAGAAAACTTAATGTTGCACCTGTTGGAGCTCGGGACTGCTATCGGTATCGGCCGTCAATTATATACCAGCCAGTACATGTTGTCCATTGCTGACCCTATGGATATTTTTCCCCCAATACCAATAACATGTCCTAAATTAGTAATGCAACATGTTGCTGAACTACAAGTGAAGTTATATCTGTCTGGGAATTATTATTTGACACATTCAACGCTAAATGCGACGAATGATTTCAAACGGTTTAAGCATCAGAGAAATTAGTTGTTTGGAAGTCCCTTGGTAGATTATATTAGATGTAAACACAATGACCTATTTACACAAGAGGAACTGGTGAAAGTACCAACAATACATAATCTGTGCCGTGCTTGCAGGGAGCAGATCCTGCGGGTGAAGGCGGAAGAGGACAAGATCCCTCTCCTCGTGGTCGGGAACATGTCCGACCTGGAGGAGCGTCGGCAGGTGTCTGTGGATGAGGCTCGAGGGAAGGCCGAGGAGTGGGGCGTCCAGTACGTCGAGACGTCAGCCAAAACCAGGGCCAACGTCGACAAGGTGCGGCAACACGCACGTCACTCTACATTACTGTAAATTGATGTCTTTTCAACTGTTAAGTGTGCATAATTGATTTCATTCTTTCTTTTTTTTTTACTCCCCAGGTATTCTTTGACCTGATGCGTGAAGTACGAGGCAAGAAAATGGCAGAAAACAAAGACAAAAACGGAAAAGGAAAAAACAAAAAGAACAAGAAGAGCTTCAAAGAAAGATGCTGTTTACTTTGAACTCTTCATGGACCTTAACAATCCACAATACAACTGTGAAGTTGGGGAACAAAGCAGAGCGTCCTTGCCATTGTCATTCAAATTCAATTTCAACTTGTTTTTTTGTTTTTTTTTAAGTTAGTTGGGTTTAGTTTGGTGTTTAGAACAATCTCAACCCTATTTTTTTTTTTTAGTTTTTCATTAATGAAATCTGAGTTTCTGTTTCATTGGAAGATAACCACTGTTGTGACTGTGACTCGGCCTGCAGTGCTTGATGGCTCACAGTAAGCCAATGACCAAACTGCCACTGACACTAACTTTGCTGCTCAAGACATTGTCCACTGTTAAACTCAGCGACTATACTGCCCTTGACTTTGGTTCAGTGTGTTTTACACCAGACTTGTTGAGTCTTTGTCAAGTTAACAGTGCTATTCATTTCTTTACCTGCTCTAAATCTTAACCCTCGTCATTGTAATCTGTTCGTATACATCCCTCGATTCTCTGTTCATCGATTTACAAGGAACTCAAATGCTGCTGTCTGTCCTTTTTTTGTAGTCGTTTATGACACTTAATGTCTATTGAAGATGTTGGCCTCATTCATTCATCTGTCCAGACTCTCATCACTACGACTTGAGAGAAGGTTTCTCATTTTGGAGTCTCTGAGGCCACAGAAGAATCGGTGCAGTAAGAGGTCTTGTTGTTAAACGTGTTTATTTTACTCTACTGTTATCAGCCCTTATATGATAACCGCAGATCAACCCAGAAGATGCTTTGCAGTTTTTCAGGAGGACTGCTGCAAGTTAATATCTTTGGTGATTGTGAAACAAATGTATCTCTGAGCTCACAGAGCTTCATGTAGATATTATAACATATACGTATATTATTGTTGGATATTCTGAGGCTGTGAAAAGAAGGTTGTCATGTGGTTACTGGTGTTTTTTCATGTTGGTATGTAATCATGGAATCTGGCCCTTCCCACATTGCAGAGTACTTCCTGTTTCACACGACTGTTGGCATTTTCAGTCTGTACTGTGAGACAGGTGTTGACAATCCAGGAGCCCATCATGATTCTGGTCCACGATGACATTATAATCAATAACTTCTTATTCGTCTTTCTTTTTATACCTTTGGTCTTTTTAATATCATGCACTACATTGCCAATACCTAAGAAGTAGACCGTGCTTCGCGCTGGAGATCTTTTTAAACAATTTGTGCCAACAAAACGTCAAACAATGTTTGTGGATGTACAGTATGTATGCTTATTAACAGAGTGTGTGTGTGTGTGTGTGTGTGTTTGCATTCACCAGAAGATCCTACTACTTTTCTGTGTCTCTAAGTGAAGCTTTGAAGAGGGCGCCAACTTCTTAACTGTTGTTAAATCAAGTGCTACAGTGAACAAGATGTTTCTACCACTGCCTAAACCATTCTTTGTAACCCTCCCTTTTTCTTTCACACCCTACTGCTGTGAGTATGCTTTTATCTCTGCAGCGAGAGTGTTGCCGAATAAATGCTTTTTCTTTTCTTTGTAAGTACTGGACATTATTCTGAATGTATTCACATGTCACACTGAGCAATCCTAACCACAGCAAGAGATGATTGACACAGGTTTTGATCTAATTGAATTTTGAAACCGATTAATTACATTGTCCCCAGTAGACACTGACTTGTTCCGACTTGTCTTCTGTGCACATGTGACTCTCTTGATACAACCGTTTCCTGTCCGTCCAAAGGCTGTGCAGGTTAAGACATGCCAGCTAGGCGTTCACAACGTAGCACTGTGCTAGAAGTTGTGTGTGCGCGCGCGTATGTGTGTGTGAGTGTGTGTGAAAGATACACAGAGAAGAATCCAGTGATGGCTACCGGTAAAAGTACAAACCAGAGCTCTCTGGCACTGCACAAGGTGATAATGGTGGGGAAAGGAGGCGTGGGGAAGTCGGCCCTCACCCTGCAGTTCATGTATGATGA